AGCCCGAAAGGGGAACAGAGTCGCGTGACAGACAGTTCACTCTCCTGTGATGTGACCCTGTTCCCCTCACACACACACACACACACACACACACACACAATGCGTTACTCTGCGTTGCACAAAACTCCGCATTTGAACAGTCAATAGCAAATACTTAAACTAATAACAAAACATACTTACAGTCGCTGATTCAGAAGGGCCAGATTGTCATAGCAGTCGGAATTGACCCTTTTTTTTATTTTTTAGAAATAACCTTTGTGCACAGCCAGCCTTGTACTCTTCTAGGTTAAAAAAACTGTCGTCCATAAAATGCGTTGCACAAATTCGAACATCTGGGTTGTGCTGTTCTGTTGTAAATAAATCTTAACCAATGATTCCTAATTGCATCTACTTCCGGAAGGCCAAATAAAGTGCTTTTGCTTTCGAACTGAAACACACAGCGTCTCCCTGACATGCTGCATCAACACTACTGCTGTTCCTGAAACCATGCCTTCTTTCTTTGCGTGCACATTTGGGCGGCATTATGCTAATATTTCCACATAGTGAGGTAGATATGTGGGGGCGTGTTAGAACGAGGCGTTTTAGGTAGGCGTGGCTGACTCTTAACTTTTATAAAGAATATCTCTTTGGATTTGAGACTTTAGTCTTTGCAACTTTACAGATCTTCTTTATGCACCAAGAGCTTGTAACACTCCAAAGAGAAAGGAAAACTTTAAATCGCATCATATGACCCCTTTAAATGGCTTATTCAAGTGTACCTTGGCATATCTTTAAGGGGGAAAAAATGCCTAAACCACGCTTGTTTGTTTGTTTGCCAAGGAAAGCGCTGCCAGAACAAAGCAATTTGATTTACAATAACTGATTTCAAATAAATAAGGAAACATTTTTTGCTGTAATGATTTAGAATGGAAAATGTGTAACTTTCCTGTATATCTATTTCCCGCTTGCAGCGTGAAAATTATTATAATTACTGGTGATATTCTTACAATAATGCATGCATAAGCTAAAAGGCAATAAATAAATAAACAACGAGTTTGCTTATTCGAGTTATTGTACAGTCCTAGAATGTGAAAAATGCCATATTCCACACCTGGAAGGTGGATAATCAAGCTTGTATTTTTTGCTGTAATGATTTAGAAATGTAATCTGTTTCATCTTTGTAATAGCGTGAAAAATATTATAATCACTGGTGATGTTCTTACAATAATGCATGCACAGGCCAAAAGGCAATAAATAAATAAACAACGAAAAAAAGTTACATGTATTCCACACCTGGAAGGAGGATAATCAAGCTTGTGTGCACATACAAAGATTTTGCAGATGTTTATGCAATTCCTTTTTTCGCTCAGTTGCATTGTTGTTTCCTGTTTTCACCTTGTTTTCTTTTCATCCTGACAATAAATAAATAAGGTTGCGTGATGGTGTAATATTACTGAATTATTTATTGCCTATTGTCTCTGTCATGCTCTCCCAGCATGGCTTTCTTACTAAGGGTCACTTTAATAAAAGAACATCGTCGAGTGTTTGTTATTTATTTATGTATTTGTTTTTAATTTTATTTTAGGAACATTATCATTAGTTCATCTGAAATTGAGCAAAAAGGCTAAGTTGGCCTAAATAAAAGAAGCAGATGTGAACGGACTGGGAGACAGACAGGCGTAACGTCAGTAGGCGCAACTACAGTAGCAGCTTATCGTTGAGCAGAGCGCAGCCTGTTCGCATTTCAGCCTCTAGTTTATGCATAGACATCACGAAACCTCGTTATCTTTTTGCGGATCCTTGGCATTTATTTTTCCCTTTCATTCCTGCCTTTATGAGATGGAGAAGAGGGCGCTTTGGACATCCTGTTATTTTGTGCGCTTTGTAACCCTCATCCTCTGCGCACCAGAGTCAGGCAACCTGCCACAGTGTAAAGAGGTAAACGACAACATGTTACCTTTTTGTAAAACATATATAGGCCTATTTTATTTTATCATGACAGTTTTAAACCAGTCGCGACGTAGGCACATTTTGTTTCTACATTTAACTTATTAAAATAAATACTAAAATGTTAATCTTATATGATTGTGAGCTTGTCTTTAATGCTAGTTATCTGTTCATGTTTTAATGAATTGTATTATTCATTTTTAATACACAAACATAAACATAATTATGTGTATGCACAAAATGCGTAATGAAAAGTCAAAAAGAACATCTTGTTATTGCCATTAAAATGGTTACGGACGAGGATCATATAATATGATGACCAATCAGATGGCAGCTCGATTATTGTGTGTTACGCGATGCAGTTGCGTTAGTGCTTGTAAAAATGGATTCATATGAACTTTAAACATAATAATACAACCTCTCTGGATCCCTCTATTTGATTTGAAAAGACTGGTGTTGTTCTTGCCTCATCCATATTTGCATACAAAGACGCGCATGTTATTAAAGGGCCACTTCACCCAAAAATGAACAGATGGATGCTGGGCAGAATGACAGCCTCAGTTACCATTTACTTTTATTCTATAGAAAAACATTCCGCTATATATCTAAAATACAGTTTTGGGGTTAGAAATAATGAAATAATCTTAATTTTGGGGTGAACTGTTCCTTTAAGAGCATTTGTGGGGGAGGCTGGGTAACAGTGGCAGGTGCAGGTGCACCATTAGTGATAATGTGTGTGCTGTAACCAAGCATTACAAAGATGACAGGCACCTCCAGTGGGATGCATTTATCAACTGTCTGAAGGCAGTGTTGCCAACAACTTCATTACACTGTATTATGGTGGTATATTAAATTATGTAATGGCTCTTACCTGTGTATCCAGTCCATTTTGGCTTTTGAGTGTGCAGCAGGCCCCTAAAGGAGCAGAGAACAATCGCTGCGTTTCATAGCATTGGACACACACTGATTTGCATATCAGATCTGTCAACAAAGACACACACACAGGAGGTATTTAGTGGCCTCATTATTTCAGGTTGTTATCAGTGTATATCAGGCTCTAATTCATTACCATCCACAACCAAAAGCAATGAGTGATCGTCATGACAACAGTTACAGGGCTCCTGGCCGTTGCCCTGGTGACTGTCCAGGGACAGAAGGCAGATAGACAGACTGTCACCCCCTCCACCCCCCACACAATATATGTAATCTGTTATATGTACCTGAGAGTTTGTGTTTTTTGGAAACTGTAGGGTTAATATAATATAAGATGTGCTGCCTGCTTAATATAAAAAGAAAATGGCACAAATTATGTCACATGACCATGTGTTTTGACAGGGCAATTTCTGTAAAGCTGCCTGTGTTTGAGAAGAGCACACATTTTATTATTTAATTTTTTCTAAAAACCTTTTTTATGCATGTAAAAATAAATGTTGCCCATGATTTTGTATGTATGTATGTATGTATTTTAAGACAGAATAGTAGCCGTGGGGTAAAGTAAACTTTGGGATAAGCTGTTCCAGTGGCGAAAGATTAAAAAAAATAATAAAAAATATTAAACTTTTTATCTTTACTGGTTTATGAAATGGTCACTTTTAATCACCATAATTTGTGGTTGACGTAAATGTCTGAATATGTCAGTGTGAATGTGTGTTTCAGACAGTTCATACATTAAGTAGTAGTAACATTACAAAATGTAAAAAAAAAATACTATTATATAATATTATATGTAAAAAAATCTATTTATTAAAAGATTGTAAATAAATACTTTTTTTCTTGCTGGTTTATGAAAAAAAGGTCACTTTTATTGACCATAACCTGTGTTTGATGTAAATGTTTGAATAAGTCGATATCTGTATGTGTGTTTCAGACAGATTACTACTTTGAGTACACAGAGTGTGACAGCACGGGCTCCAGATGGAGAGTTGCCATTCCTCACAGACAGGGGAGCTGCTCGGGCCTTCCAGAACCTGTCAGAGGCACAGACTGCAGTAAGAAAACAACCACATATAGACACTCTTAATGAACATACATTGCATTACTTAAACTATCAAACCAAGTGACATTTAACCTAAAGAAAGTTAGCCAAGCACACTGTGGGAACGTTTCCTTGGTTTTATATTTTGCTATCAAAAGCAATGACATTTAAGCAATTCAAATATGTCCTAATACTTTTGAGATCCTTGGTATTGTGTCAGTAAACAAACACAGTCTATGCTAACTTGTTGTACAGCTTTTTCTTGTGAAGCTGGGGAGTTTCAAATATGTCCTAATACTTTTGAGATCCTTGGTATTGTGTCAGTAAACAAACAGTCTATGCTAACTTGTTGTACAGCTTTTTCTTGTGAAGCTGGGGAGTTTTTAGAGATGTCATCCCAGCAGTGCACATCATGTGTGGCCGGCTCTTATTCATTGGGCAGCGGCGTGCGTTTCGATCAGTGGGACTCCATTCCTGCGGGATTCAGCAGTTTGGCTACATACATGGACTCAGGAGGTTCAGGGGACGACTCAATGACCTGCAACAAGTATGTTTATATATACCAGCATATTCTATTCTCTAATCTTTCGCAGTGTATTTTCTGATCTGGATCTGTCTGTTAACATTGTGCTGTTCAATTGCAGCTCTTCATGGACAGCTCAGGGAACTCACTTGGAATCCAATCGTGATGACTGCACAGTAGCGCTGGTGTACGCGGTGCATCTCATGAAGCAGGGATCCGTCTCCTTTGACTATCAATATGTCGACAGCAACATCTTCTTTGAGTTCTTTGTGTGTTTTACTTCATACATCTTTTTTATTTTCTACAAATGTGTTGAAGTGAACATTTATCTCTAAAAAATAATGTTTAATTTTTGGTGCAGATTCAGAATGACCAATGTCAGGAGATGGACCAGACAGGGAGTGAGAAATGGATCAAACTCACCATGTTGAAGTGAACATTTATCTCTAAAAAATAATATGTTTAATTTTTGGTGCAGATTCAGAATGACCAATGTCAGGAGATGGACCAGACAGGGAGTGAGAAATGGATCAAACTCACCACTAATGGAGAGTGGGGAACCCATACGGTTAGTCATCTTGGATATGTTATTCTTATTAAAAGGGATAGTTCACCCAAAAGTGAAAATTCAGTCATTATTAACTCTCATGACGTTCCAAACCTGTATGACTTTCTTTCTTCTGCTGAACACAAAAGAAGATATTTCGAAGAATGTTGATAACAAAACACTTTAGCTGTTTAGCTACCAAATATCTTTTTTTCCAGAGACAGGTTTGGAACCAAATGTAAGTGATAAAATGATCACAGAATCTTCATTTTTGGGTGAACTATCGTGTTAAGGATTATGCGGTATTAATGTCTAATGTAGCTGTTTTTGCATGTCACAGGTAAATCTGAAGTCGGGAACTAATATTCTGTATTGGAGAACCACAGGAATGCTCTTGGGTGGGAAACCAGTGAAACCGGTCCTTTTGAAGAACATCCAGATCGAAGGTGTGAGATTCTGATGAAATCATGTCTACTTTTGTGTCTCACACCCTCAATTCAGATGCAGTCTGAACAATTTGTGTTGTGATATTTTATGGTCATATATATTTTTTTTTACATGTTTTGTGAGCAGGTGTGGCATACACGTCAGAGTGTTTTCCATGCAGGCCGGGCACCTTCAGTAAAACCCCAGGCTCTTCCTCATGTGACCTTTGCCCCAGGAACAATTACTCTGGAAAGGGAGCCAGTTCGTGTACACCATGCTCCAAGACACAGTACTCCCGTACGAACACACAAAAATCAATCATTCAGATGATTTCTAACATTCTTTGCTTTACCAAACGATCTGCATCTGATCTGTTGCGATCATTTTAGCATGAATCCAATACAATATATACTATAGCAAGCAGACATTGTACATAATTGTCCAATTGGACTTCTAGGACTGCACAGAGCATGTCAATAGGAAAACAAAGCCAAAATCTGGATATTTTAGGCAATTTAGAACTTCTGGCCAGGAAAAAGAGGACGTATGGTCACCCTAATGTTTCTCTACATGTTCTAGAGGAGGGATGGTCACAGTGTAAAGAGAGACCTCCTTGTTCAGAGAAAGACTATTTTCAAATCCACATGGCCTGTGATAGTGACGGCAAGGTAGGTTATAATGCAGAATTTTTTTTGTTGTTGTTGTAAATTATGTGTGTATAATTTGTTCACTTTTATATTGCTGTATTATTTTAGACCCAGATACTGTACAGGTGGGTGGAGCCTCAGGTGTGCATGGAGAATGTGACTGGTTCTGTGACACTGCCCCCTTCTGGAGAGAAAGAGGACTGTCCACCCTGCAATCCAGGCTTCTACATGCACAACTCTTCCACCTGTTTACCTTGCCGTCAAGGCACTTATTCTGATGGCACCACAGGTATATAGACATGCATTAACATAGATACATACTCGTGTATTATGCAACACTGTTGGTTTACTGGTACTGGTGAATAATGGAGAAGATTCCTTTTGGCACAGAATGTCAAAGATGCCCGGGAGGAACCGAACCTTCTTTAGGATATGAATACAAGTGGTGGAACATCCTGCCGAGGAATATGAAAACTTCTTGTTTTAATGTGGGCAACTCCAAATGTGATGAAATGAATGGTAAGAAATTTAATTATTTGTGAAATTTACTAGCAATTTTTGAGTGAACATTGATTCATTAATATTTTTTTAGTGTAGTCTTTTAATTAATATGAAGACATAAATATGGCATCTATATAATAATTCTACAACAAGAATGAAAAGAATGGTCAAACATGTTACCCGATGCCTATTTGCTTCTGTAGGTTGGGAGGTGGCTGGCGACCACATTCGTAGCGGAGTGGGCGGCTCAGATAATGATTACCTCATCTTAAATTTACGAGTGCCTGGATTCAAGTGAGTCAGATCTATAATTCCAGTGTTAAAATGTTTGTTGTACATAGAACATGTACAAGTGGCCTCTCTTTTTCTCTCTCTCTCTCTCTCTCTCAGACTTCCTACTTCTGTGGACGATGCTTCAGCTACTGAGTTCAGCCGAATCACATTTATCTTCGAGACCAACTGCAGCACAGAGTGTGAACTCTATTTTATGATAGTAAGATGATAATTGAACCAAAATAGTCATTATAATGAATTAATCTGCAAGTTAATCTGCAACCGAATCAATGTGTTTTCTCCATAGGATGTCAACAGGAAGAGCACAAATGTTGTAGAATCATGGGTAGGGACTAAATTGAGACAAGCATACACCCACATCATGACCAAAAATGCTTCGGTTTCTTACACATGGGCTTTCCAACGCACCAACAAAGCCTCTGATGTAAGTATTCGCCTAGAAATCACAGGAATTAGTCTAAAGTACCTTTTTGTCACGTGGAAAAGTTCTCATTCGCTGTGTTTTTCTCTCCAAGGTGCGCCAGTATGTAAATGACATTGCAAAGATCTACTCGATCACGGTGACTAATGCGATGGATGGCTCAGCGTCTGGTTGCCATGCCTGTGCTATGATGAGTCAGCGGGACGGCTCTTCCTGTGTCCCCTGTCCTGCTGGACACTTCATCAACAAAGACACCAACCAGTGCCAGGAGTGCCCATCCAACACCTTCCTCTCTGGGCATCACATTTATGGCCAGGAGGCCTGTCAGCCCTGCGGTCCTGGAAGCAAGAGCAACAAAGTATGAGTAAGACCAAGAGAAAATGCATGACTATGTTGGTTTTTAACACTTGCAAATGCAAAATGTGTTTTATGTGTGTCCAGGAGCACTCTTTGTGTTTTAACGACTGCACCTTCATGTATATGGAGCTGAACCAAACGCTGACCTACGACTTGAGTGCCTTGAGTTCAGTGGGGTCAATCATGAACGGGCCTAGTTTCACATCCAAGGGAACTAAATACTACCACCAGTTTAATATCAGTCTGTGTGGGGCTGAGGTACTCTCACATGCAAACATTCCTATCTTTAGCTATAACATGCAAAATGTGTTTTATGTGTGTCCAGGAGCACTCTTTGTGTTTTAACGACTGCACCTTCATGTATATGGAGCTGAACCAAACGCTGACCTACGACTTGAGTGCCTTGAGTTCAGTGGGGTCAATCATGAACGGGCCTAGTTTCACATCCAAGGGAACTAAATACTACCACCAGTTTAATATCAGTCTGTGTGGGGCTGAGGTACTCTCACATGCAAACATTCCTATCTTTAGCCGACTAAAAATAGATTGCTTTGATAGAAAATGGCTTAAGATCATCTACAAAGTCATCTTGCATATTTGCTTTCTATGGCAGGGGAGGAAGGTGGCGGTGTGCACTGACAATGTCACGGATCTGTCCAGTAAGGACCTGCAAAATGAATCGGCTGACCTTAACAATTTCGTCCAGACTTTTGTGTGCCAATCGACCATCATCCCTGCAGATGGACGGGGCTTCAGAACATCCCTGTCATCACAGTCTATCAGCCTGGCTGACACTTTCCTTGGTGAGTGTATTTCTTTAATGGTATTTAACATACACTGCCGTTCAGAAGTTTTGGGGTCAGTAAGATTGTTAATTGTTTTTGAAGGAAGTCACTTATGATCACCAAAGCTGCATTTATTTGATCAAAAATACAGTAAAACAGTAATATTGTGAGATATCATCGCAATTGTTTTCTATTTTAATATATTTTAAAGTGTAATTTATTCCTGTGATGGCAAAGCTGAATTTTCAGCAGCCATTCCTACAGTCTTCAGTTATTTTTATGGAAACTGTGGTACATTTTTTATGCTTTGATGAATAAAAAGTTCAAAAGAACAGCATTTATTTGAAATAGAAAGTGTGTATATGCACTATAACAGAGAATATGCATGCAAAAATGTAAATTTTTATATAATATAGTTGGATATATTACAATCAAATTGTAATATTGTACAAATTGTAATCATATTTGATTTTTGGCCCCTCATAGTAAAAAGTTGGTGCACTACATGTGATGTATAATAAAGACTATATGGCACTTTTGTGTTTAGCTCCATTCAGAGTAGAGGTGTTATACTGCTTACTCGTCTCACTTCCTTCATGCTTCCATTTCTCAGGAGCTTCTGTTGATAATAGTCTGGATGGGGTCACTGTCAGCTCAGACCTCTTTCCCAAGTCTTCATGGCAGAAAGTGTGTATATGCACTATAACAGAGAATATGCATGCAAAAATGTAAATTTTAATATAATATAGTTGGATATATTACAATCAAATTGTAATATTGTACAAATTGTAATCATATTTGATTTTTGGCCCCTCATAGTAAAAAGTTGGTGCACTACATGTGATGTATAATAAAGACTATATGGCACTTTTGTGTTTAGCTCCATTCAGAGTAGAGGTGTTATACTGCTTACTCGTCTCACTTCCTTCATGCTTCCATTTCTCAGGAGCTTCTGTTGATAATAGTCTGGATGGGGTCACTGTCAGCTCAGACCTCTTTCCCAAGTCTTCATGGAAAGTTCCAGATATCAACTTCTTCTATCGGTAAATAAAGAAAGAATAGGTAGTTGATGTGTGCAATGATATTACATTTATAACACAAAGTATTTTTTTTCTCCTCAGCTCTCCACAGCCCACAGCATCCTGTCTGAACGGCCGTAGCACAGTCGTGACTCTACGTTGCAATCCTAAGAAGAGTGGACTTGGGGAGCTCACTGTGCCAAGGTGCATGTGTTTCTATGTTCATTATCTGTATTTGTTTGCAAATGTATGTATTTTAGGACCAAGTAAACACATTAAATATGTTTAATGCTTTTGCATTTTTATAAACGGATTAAAATGTGCATAGCAGAGTGTCTCAGTATATGGAGAAAAACGCTCTTTATGGATAATTAACTTTTTTTAACACAGACAAAAATAACAAGTAACAAAAATGAGCATTTTTCAAATTTGCATGATATGCATTCTTTGTATATGGTGAATTATCATCGAAGCTCAACAGCTGAAATATTACCCATGAGTGAAACACCGTTATTAATATAAATGCTAATACAAATAGCATTCAGAGGTTTGCAGGCCAGTTGGAAATATGCAATGAATATTGAATGCTTGCAGATTTGCATTTTCAAATGTACGTTTTCTGTGTGTGAAATGAGAAATGTTGATTTTGCGTGCGAGTTGGGTTAGGAATGCCTTGAAATGAATCATTCAGCTACAAATAGCATCCACAAAAATTGTCGGACTGATTAATTACATTTACAAACAATTTTAATTGCTTAAGAATAGACAATGTGGTAAGGTTAATCACGAAAAAACACTTTTTAATTGTGTTTGTGTGTTTAGCACATTTGCATTTTCAAATGCACGTTTTCTGTGTGTGAAATGAGAAATGTTGATTTTGCGTGCGAGTTGGGTTAGGAATGCCTTGAAATGAATCATTCAGCTACAAATAGCATCCACAAAAATTGTCGGACTGATTAATTACATTTACAAACAATTTTAATTGCTTAAGAATAGACAATGTGGTAACGTTAATCACGAAAAAACACTTTTTAATTGTGTTTGTGTGTTTAGCAAGTGCCCAGCATATTCATTGAAATGAATAATGTACGTATGGATATAACCATAAGTGGACATACAGTGGGTACGGAAAGTATTCAGACCTCCCTAAATTTTTCCAGTTTCTCAATATTTCCAGCCATCCCGTCAAATGTTTCTGAACCCATCTCTGTAGGGTCTCAATACAATGTGTTGTGAGTCAAAAAGCAGTAAATCTCTCTAGTTAAAATAAAATTAGCCCCATAAAGTAACTGTATCACATATATACCGCTAAAACATTTCAAAAGTTACAAAGAACTGCTTTCTGAAACACATCACAATATAATAACAATACACCCACGATCTCACCCACAGACACATCAGAGATACATTTGCATCATGGTGTGTGTGCGAACAATTGAAACCACTATACTGCAAAGTAAGCCTGAAAAACTGTATGCTTGCTGGTATGCGTGTAAAAGTATGTTTAAGAGAATTTCTTTAGGTTTAAGGTATATTTTTCCTGCTTGTTCACACACACTAGCATTCATACAAATATATCTAGTGTTTGGCCAACAGATGGAGGACAGAAAGACTTACCTCCACACAGAGCTTCTTTAGTTTTATCTCAACGCCATTGCCAAATATCACAAAGCAGATCTAAAAGAGAGAAGAAAGGCCCCTTCCTTTATGAATTACAGAGAGGTCCATCCTCTCTCCACATCTCTCCTCTGAGGAGAACAAGAGACGATACTGTTTTCTACTTTGTATTTTGTATTGTTGTGTATTTCGAGCTGTATAAAGTTGTTGAAATATATGTTGTTTTACTCCCTGATTCCGTTTATGCTTTAATAAACTTTAAGAGTGCTTTAAACATGGAGCAATTGTGTTAAAGCATACAGAAAAACTCTCCAGACCAGCTAACAATATGTTCAAAAGAACATTCTGCTAACATTCAGAAAATATTACTGTATTTCTGAATGTTCTCTGAACATTCAAAATGTCCAGTTTTTTTTAAAGCGTTTTACCTTTTTTTAAACATTAAGGGAACTTTCCATTTTATAAATTTCCAAACATTATGGGAATTTTACATTTGTTCTCTGAACATTCTAAACATTCTGTGATATTTAAAAAATGTTAGATAACGTCCAACAAAAACATTTCCGAAATAAAACATTCCTTGAATGATGTATAAGTAACACATTTGTGCTAATGTTTTTAAAACATTAGTAAAGACTCTGAACGAACATTATATTAACATTACTAAAAGAACATTTGTTCTTAACTTTGAGAGAACCTTAACGTTAGCCAAAGTTCTGAGAACGTTGCTTGTTAGCATTTCACTAAAAGATACTTCATGTAAGTAAATGTCCACAGTCTTTTAGAGTCAATGACTTGTAGAATGAATTACAAAAATGCAAAATATTGTAACACCCATATGTAAACACAAGATGTGACTCACCTGGCTTATTCCTTGGTTACCTAAAAAAAATCGATGGCCCCTAAATGTATGAGTGCAGTCCACAAGTTTGAAAAAGGGACCAATTATCTGAATATCCCATGGTGTGAGATCTACTAGACAGCCAATGGACAAATTACGTTTGCACTCGCAAATATTAGCATAAAAAATACATAAAACTGGGCACTAATATGCATTTATTTAACATGTCTGCACAATGTATTTCCTAAAAATCCTTATTTTTATTCAGCTTATCAGTGCTTCACTGTAATGTATGCTGAAATATGAATATTGCATATTTTACCTAGTTTTTGGAGGCAGTTATTTTGTAATATTCATGTCAGACAAGAACAAGTTATTTAAAACATTTTTTTTCTTTTTATTTAAAATAATATATTGATTAAACAGTAATGCAGATATGTCATTTGGTAATAAATTATCTTGATAATTCAATACTGTGTAAAGATGCAACTATTTAATCTGTGGATCAAAATATACCTATAGCACTCACAAATACGAGTAGGAGTGTATTTTAGGAAAATGACAGGAGCGACAAACCGTTTACAGAGGTTATGGCTTATAAGTTAACCCTCATTGCACTCTTTTAGGTGCCATTGCATGATACTGTTTGTTTTCAAGAGGCCATTATTAGGTCTTTCTCCCCCTCGATTTCCTAACCTCTATATCCTGCATCCTTTGATCTCATCTCCCTCTCTTCCCTGACAGTAGGCGGAGTAGGACAGCTCATTTGCCTCCCAGCAGTACAGATGCACTTTGAAAAGATCAGTGAATGAGAAAACAGAGAGAGTAGACAGAGATGAGAAGAGAGTCACCAGGACACAAAGCCCCAGAGTGAGCAGATGACTAGTCCAGACTCTCCCTCTCATACATGGAACATACTTTTTACAAATAAACACATTCATACTGAAACAAATGAAAGCAGGGAAGAGTGGGGTAAGCTGTGACACTTTTCGAATGTGAAATCAATTTGAAATACCTTAAAAATAATCAGAATATTTGAAGCCAATATTTATAATATATATATATATATATATATATATATATATATATATATATATATATATATAT